TATGTCTTTTTACCAAGTTTCAAAAAAATCGGTCCAGCCATCTCCGAGAAATCACTCCGGACGGACAGACGGACTGACGAAGGCGAAACTACAAGCCCCCGCCCGGACTTTGTCCGGGTTGGGGTTAAAATGAATTTAAATCGTAACTTGATTTGTGCCATACTCATATTGGGAAAGGTGTCACCAGGGCAGATGATGCTGAATATGTGTTAATATAGTGAACTACAATGCACGAATGAGTTTCCTGTCATTGTGATTAATTACGACTCACGTATATGGATCACTAATGAATGTCAATGTTAGATTCTTATGACGTGACGTGTATTACAATACAAGATCAATCATGTTGGGTTGGACTAGTCAGCAAAGTATGTTTTATCATTCCGGATATCTGGTACTACTGGTACTCTGTTTTGTTAAAAGTGATTTACAGACCTAGCAACTTCGTGTTGTGAAACTCTTATACAAACTGTGAAAAATATTGGTGGTACAGACATTAGACCAAATTATTCAGCTTTGCAAACACAACAAAAGTTTTACATCTACCAGAAGTGTTAAAATCCCCATTTACTTACGTATGTGAACTATGGATACTTTATAGGCCATGCACTAACTTAGAACCTAATCGGCAAAAAAAAATACATCACAGAAATGACTACAAACAAAACTGAAAATCAAAATGTCCACCAGTCTGTCATTTTGAATCGAAATACACAAAAAGTGATGGATCTGAATAATCTAATATATACAATCTACATTCATATACCAAGTTTAAAATTCTTCTGTGCACGAGGTTTTTGAGTATGAATCAATGATGTTACACTGTACAACACAACATATTCAAGTTGGAATTGATCAGGACATATCGGTGATACATGTCACCAATATTTGGCAGAATGTTTTATTTGCCTTGAGAATAAAACATTTTGGTATATTATTGGTTAAAGCGGGAGAGTCGTCACCTGCGCATGCGCCAGGTGACCATAGCGTCTACCCATGAGCCTTTGTGTTCTTAGAGTGTGTTATCATCGCTTGGGACTCAATTCTCGCGCGTGCGCAGTTGACGACCCTCCCTTATGACAAAATCCTTCGTAAATGATAAAACTTCGCTCCACATAGTTAGATTTTACTGAAATGAACCAGTCGTATGTTGAATTGTCTTTTTCTTTTGGAATCACATGGTCGCCATATTCATGTAAGTTTAGGTATGGTCTTCAAATTGATAATATATTTAAATATGCGGGTACATGTAAATATCATGTCATATCATATCATATCAAACTGCCACAACGTGTCAAAGAAATAACGTTAGACATACGGACGAATTTCCCGTTTCAGGATAGCATTTTGTATATACTGCCTAACGACGAGGAATTGATTGAGATATTTTTGCTGCACAAAAAATGTTATATACAAATCGTAAATTTGTTTTCATTTTACGCGATAATAACAATGGTTCCCTTAATTCTGATCAGCACGTATTTCGTGGTTGGTCAGGTATCAATTACAATCAATGTTTCAAACTGATTTTATACAACAATTTGCATCTAAAACTAAACATAGAAATTCAACATGAACTCAAACAATTTCATCCTATATTGTAACGCAATATTAATGTGACGATTTAATTTCTATTTCCTTGTTGGCATTCGATTTGTTCGATCATTGTTTTGTTTTTTTGTAAACTATGAGCTAATAACCTGAGACTTCAGTGCAATCAGTGCAATAATGAACATTGGTGTGGAAGCAAATGTCACAGTACCGGATTAACTTCAGCAATAATAATAACAACAGTCAGTAAAAAAAAAACAGTAAAAAAAACCCACACACAAACGTTTAATACTCAGTAATACTCATAATATTCATTCATAAACGATTAAGCAATAACAGTTGAAATATCTGTTATGAATAGCAGTTGTCAAGTACAATATTGGCCCAAATTGTCATTATACCACATAGAATGGAATCCTGAATGTTACGTGTTTTGTCAACATTTCCCACTTGTTCTCAAAGACGAATAATTGTCTATAAATTACGCCCGACTTAACATAAAGTCAGCGAAATGTCCAACATTATTATTACAAACTAGAAAAACACGTTTAACGTGTGCTTGAGCATGTAAGTGTGGCATTAAATACAATTCTTTCGAGATAACTAGAACCCCTTAGATCCGCCACTAAATCAACTTGTCAGATTGTGTTTCTTTAGTAGTTTCTATCTATTAGAAAAAAATGTCATGAGACAAAATAAGGGTGTGCATCGAATAAGGCAAGGGAGAGAATAGAACAAGAACTATATTTCCGAATGGTTTAAATTATTTGCGGGTATTGGTAGATGGAAAGTATGTGTATGTGCATGTTCGGCCACGACATCGGAATATGGTTTTGGATTGTCAATTGTATTTATTCAAATTCTCGGCATACAAAAATGTAACAAAAATAAAACGATAAAACATTAAAATATATAAATAGTTTACCCAGTAGATGTATGTATTACACAGTTTTACCAAGTATATGTATGTATTTTGGTGTACATTCCACATTCTACAGTATATTCAAAAATATCACCACAACACCACTTACGTACCCTGAACTGACAAATTCCTCTCCGAGCGGTAAAACCAACCCAATCTACCAATCCCAATACACACCAAGCCCATCTATTTGCACTCCTGTTTTCAGAAAACCAGGTTATCCGGAAGTGAGTTGATCTGACGTGAGGATGTTCAAGGCACGTTCTGTTTTAGTTACTGGCAGTAATAGAGGCATTGGGCTTGAATTCGTAAAACAACTGATACAACTGCCCAATCCACCAGAACATGTGTTTGCGTGTTGTCGTTCGCCAGAGAATGCAGTGGTAAGTAGAACTTCCTGAAAATAACTAATATCTAGTTTTAATAATATACAGTGCTTGTAGG